TGGGTATTAAAACCCAGTTCTAGAGAAGTCCAAAACTAATTCCTCCTTCGATCTGGACGAGGACCTTCTTGTCCTCAGTGTCTGGCTTCCACAGAGACCTGTTTTGCTTTCCACTTCCTATTTTTGTGCGTGGTCACTGAGTCCTGCCCTGAGTTTCCTGCTGGCCAAGGCCAGTCAGTAGTGCCTCCCTCAGGCTGTAGCCATTCCAGCAATTCTGTTTCGTGTCCCTCTGTGTGCTCCGAGTCACACCTTTCTTTGCCTAGCTTTACAGCCTGTGGGGTTGGGAGCCCCCTCACATGAGCTCCACAGGCCCCTCCGTCTCTGTACCCTAGACTGTGACAACCACCGAAGCAGAGGCCTATCCCTAGCCATCGGGAGAGGAGTGCAGCAAAAAGACCACTGAGCTCTGTGTCGGACGTCAGCAGGGTCCCAGGAGGGTCAAACAGTCCACTGGGCTTAATGTCAGCACTTAAGCTTCTCAGGGGTGTGTGTGTATGTCCAGCTTGCGCCCTCTCCACAGCTGCCTCTTGTGGATGTTTTTCCCCCAGTCACTATGGTGGTCCTCTAGCGCTTCTGTAGCTCAGTCTCAAACAACTAATCCAACCGGCTCCTATTCTTATGGCCAGCGCCACAGTGGATTCCTTCTCTAACTCTCGCCTACCCCATGAGAGGAGGCACCTTCAGCATGAAACCGCACTGTGCTTTTGCAGTCTGCAGTAGTTGTGGGCTTTTCTCAGGGCTAGCGCTGCTGGCCTGTCCTGCTGTCTCTTCCTGGGGCTGCTGACCCTCTGCAGGGTTACCTGCGTCAGCAGAGGCTGGTCCCCTCCCTGGGAGAGGTCAGCCCTCCGGACCGCCCCCTTCCTTTCTCTGCACTGCGACCTGTGGTTTTTGGTTTTCTTGTTGCCTACTAGAGACCACCTTCTTTTTTTCTCCACCAAGTGGTTGTTCTCCAGTTTTCTCCCTTTCAGGCTTCTGGAGAGGCTGCGTTTTGCAGCCTGTCTGTGCTTTGCCACCTTTAATCTTCCCTTCCACAAGCATTTAAAAAACAACAGCAACAAGTGTCAGATGCTTTTTCCTTATCTGCGCAGGCTGTTTTTTTTTTTTTTCTCCTTTGAACTAGCAAGGTCGGGCATTTTATTAAGCGCTTTGGCCAGAGTCATTTCAATATATTATGCTGACTGCAAGAAAAGAATTATGGAGAGTTCTCTAATTTCATATTTGATGCAAAATTTAAATAAGCTGGAATTGTATATTCCTTGATGGTGTGAGAACAGTGACCTACGAAACTGTCAGCTTTGCTGCCCCCTTTTATTTTGCACATGTGCTGATGTGGCAAGCACCCCTGCCCCCCTTTTGTAAGGGAAATAATTTTATAATGCATATTGTTTTTTTAATAAACATTTATTTATTCAGTGTGTGTGTGTGTGTGTGTGTGTGTGTGTGTGTGTGTGGCCAGCTCAGCCCACCAGGGGGCGAGGCTGGCTGGCATGGGGTGCTGGGGGATCGAACCATGGTCCCTGTGCTTTGCCAAGCTTGTTCCAAGTAGGTGCTTTAGACCACTGAGCCATCTCACCAGCCCTTATAATGCATATTGTTATGGCTGGCATTTTCATATGCATCTATTCTAGGCCTGTATTTGTCATTCATATTTATCTAGAAAATCATCAGATTCATTCAAGTTCACAGACCTGCTTATAGTGCTTTGACAGTTACCACAGTTATCTTTCATTTGTGTATTTGGGCTTTCTTCTCTCTGCCCATGTCTTCCTCTTCTTCCTCCTCCTCCTCCTCCTCCTTCTCCTCCTCCTC